CGTGCAGGTAATTGACACAGCATACGCGCGTGCGATTGCTGCCAGCTATCGTTATTCTTGACATATACCCGGTTTTCTAGCGTTTACAAAAAACAGCCCAAGTTTTCTTATGAAATTATTTTAGCTATGAGGAAACATCTTCAGACATCGGAAGAGTTGTTTTGAAACAGAACGTTCATATCCGATTGAAAATCATCTATTATGAAAGCTGCAAATGTTGAAGGTGATAGATTTTTCATCTCTATCTCCCATTTCCCGCGAGTTCGATGGAGATAGACATCGTAATATAGTGTAAACGGCTAGTGCAACTATCAGATGATCTCTCACGGCTTTTATACTTAACTGATTCATCTGTAAAATATTAATGTATACTTATTAATCTAAGTTTGCCAAAACCATGGTAGTGGGTTGGTATGACCCATCGCGGTTATTCTTAATACGTCATCTTATTGACATTACAACCAGTTATAATGCTGTGCCTGACGTAGTACTAGTACCTCTGATGGACTGCTATAATTGCCAAATGCGGAAACGTATCAGCAACGTGTGGCTGCGTATCCTTAACTATATTGGCTTGAAAAGATCTTACAATATGAAATAGCCCTTTCAGCACTCTGCCTCCTTAGCATCTTCCATGTAGCCTTCTTGTGCAACTTCAAAGTTTTCGCTTTCATATTTTTTGAAAATCAATAGTCTTCTAATTTCTGCATAATCATCACCTAACCTTGTCTGTCAAGTCCTTCTTAACCAGCTACTTGAACAAGTCATGCAGTATCCTGCGTAGTCAGGCAAATGCTTAGTCACACCACATCTGATATAATCCATTGAAAACAAAGAAAAAACTGGTTGGATAATTGGGCTGTTTTTGGCGCCTAATCTCTTAATGAGAGTAATTATATGTTGATAGATGTGACAACTATTGTGCTTTCAAAATACTAGCAAAGCAAGAAAATTGGAAAATTACTGCTTTATGTGAGTTCAATTACAGTCTTTTTAAAAAATAAATTTCTGGTTATGTACTGAAAGCGTCATATCATAGCGACAGGCTAGGTCATGTTAAAGACCGTATCTTAGAAAAACAACACCATTTGAATAAAAAATTTTGAAAATTGTAAACGATGTATACTTTATTGACGGAGAAACTAGCTGATATTCTACTGCAAAAACCTTTTCGTCAAATTGATTTTGGAGGGGTTTCCATATGAACATCAGAATAGCATGATCCATACGGACTGTTATCAAAAGGATAGAATATTGAAATAAGTGTAAAACAGCGAAACTTTCGATTTTTATTCATCTTACTGAGTTTGATTGCTTCTATGATATAGCTTTCTGACATTGCAAGACTTAGTTAAAACATTGAACCCCAATTAGTATTTAATTTTATATCGAACGCAATCTGTGAGCGATATTTCAGACCTCGTTCTTGCCGGTTATAAAAAAAGAGTTGAAAATCGTAAACAACTTCACGAATCAGGAATTATTTTTTCAAAAATCTTGGCTGAAATGCAAACTTGTTCAAGAACATCTGTGGCCCACATTTCTCCCGCCCCTCCATATAAGGTACAGAGGGGACAGTTCAAAAAACTTATTTTTAGAAAACTGCCTGACTCAAGGTAACATCTAAGGAGAATGGAGATTAACCGAAACCTACTCTTCAGCTGTCCTACGGACTCATGAGAATTTTGAATTAAAAAGTCCTTAATTTCTATCAAAATTAGGCTGTCTCAACTCAAATGGTTGAACTTGATGAATATTCCTAGATCACGGATCAATGGAGGCAAAGCACCAAAATAAAACTGTTTTCTCCGCAAGTATTACATGAATATGACATTAAAATAACAAATACTGCAACGTGTCCTATAAGTTAAGTTTCCTACGTTTGACCTTTCAAATATCCTCACTATAAGTTCGATGAACATTGAAAAGTTGAGACATGAACCGAATGTTATGCAGTTTTATAGCAGATCATCAAAAAAAAGTCGAAATCAATAGAAATATGTTAAAAGTGTGAAAACCTCATGCCATATACAGAACAAGCAAGACGTGAGGGCGAAGGAAGAATGGAAACATGATCAAACGGGATTTCACACTATGAAGCAAACCAAGCAAAAAAGCCTAATAAAGATATGAAAGAGATGAAAAAAGATGTGGATATAAGGGAATCAAGAATGACGGAGTGAAACGAGAATAAGGCGGCCTATCATGAGACATCATGATAACTCAAAGACAAGAAGAACATTCCATAATCTTAGTAACCGCTGTCCTCCAGATATTTGGCCATCTTCTCAACTGCTGTTCGCACCTCGGCCGATACTTGGTTCTCTCCTTCGTACATAGCAATTAAGATAGCTACAAAACTTGTTCTTTCAAAGATATTAACATGTAATAATAAAGATAAGCTTTGAAGATCACCAGTTTTCGTTTTTGCCGCAAAAAATCCCATCTTTTCTTTCTTGCCAAAGATAAGGTTCTCTTCGGTGCGAGGAACGATGTAGTGAATCTGCAAACATTTCATCAAATTTGTCAAAAATTATGCATTAAGGTGGAATTGCATCGTAATTCACTTCTGATACAGATTACCTCCTCTAGGTCAGCTCCAGTTGATGGGACATTGTCAAGATTGTCAAACAATGTGACAAACTTCTTCAACTCCGCTTCAGTTGCCTGAAAACATTTGGACGTTCACCAATGGCGACAGAATTTTTCCAAGAAAGCAAGGGATAGAATACTGTTATTTGAATAAAAATCGTATAAGTTTTATTTGTTTTTCAATTCTTTTGAGAATAATTGCTAGCGATTCTGAGCGGAAGTGTCAATCTCTTTGTTCATTTGGATTTGTGTTCCGCTTCTTACCGCAGATGAGTGTTCCCTGCGGCAAATTGATTGCGCCCTTTACCCAACAGTATTTCTAAGCTTTTAAAAACATATCTTTTGGGAACTGTCACTAAAGCCAGGTTTGCTAGGAGCACATTTCTGCATTAACAACTATTTCCTCGATTGAAGAACATTAATTAAGAGTCACATATATCAAAAAAAGGTAAAGTGCGTTAAAAGTCCTTAAAATTAGCACTGCATAACTCTCAACAACTTCAAAATTCTCCGCAAAAAAAGATCTATGGTATTTATATCCATATATTCCAAACTTAGAATGTCACTATTTTCTATTTTCTTTCTTCAATGCCTTTAGGTTTTGTTTCCCCATGGAAAATCCTACGTTATTCCGCAGCCAGATTCTCCAAAATCTTTAAAGAACATGATAGCCACCAGAAGTGTCACTTATGTCGCATGATTTTCGTCAATCGTGGCAGCTCGTCCACCATTATTCAGACGATGGGGATACTGTCGATGAAATGAGCCGCTGTATGCAACCCAATTACACACTCGTTTGCCCTCTTTAGGCCGAAACGGATATATCAAACACGCGTCGCTAATATAAATCAAACAATCGGTTCATTAACTACAGGTTCGATAGAATAACGCATTAAGCTGGCAGCCCGGAGGTCATAGCAACGATCGTGAGCCGCAAACCATTGCCGAGACGGGAAAGACATATGGTCAGCACAATTCGTGCGACGATCACCTTAAAATAACTTGCACAGATATGAACACAACGCATTTCGGGGAAATCGTAGCCACATAGAAATCATGAGGAACCATATGAGCGATCAGCTACGACCATACGTTCTTCGAAGACTTTGAAATTCATTATCGTCGCAACCACTATTTAGTTATGACTATCCACATGCAAGTGCTTATGTTTTAGTGTTATTAGCATTTATCTTACTGTCTATTCACCTCCTAAGTTATGATCCGTACATTTACATGATAGAAACTAGATGCTAGAAAGGAGCACAGAAAAAGAGAAAAAGCCAAACATCAGCTGCATAAATTAAGAAAGAATTTTTCATGCCTTCATACCCTTTCCTATAAATTATAAAAACTCAATCAAAACTAAAAATCTATCCTCAAAATTATTTTACAAACTAAAAGAAAACTTCTCTTCTTTAGAAACTTCTGTGAAGAAGTTGCATTTCGTTGTAGAGGCTCCAAGTTTCTCCCTCTTTACCCTCGCTCAGTTCTATAGGTATTTTCGCAGTTAAACATGTAGATAATTACGTCTGTGAAGTCTACAAACTTGCAGATGAATGATCATGACTCTTCCTCGAAAAGAGATGACCGCAGATTAACAGAAGACCCACGAATTTATAATCGTTTCTTTTTCTACGCGACGACGAAATTCTGACTTGCAAAAAATTTTTTTGAAACAAAAATAAGGATTCGAGGCAAGGAACACACTGTATGCACTACATTCAGATTTGCTGTCCCCAATTACGAGCATACATGGATTTGACTCGATTGAAATATCAGCCTATCAACTGCATGTTTTGCAACGTCCAGTAGATATATTGGAACTAAAAAAATGCTATTCTTCAAGAAATGAATAATTAACTCTCAGATTCCTTCTGCAAAACCATATATGCCTAAAATGTAAAGGTAATCCTAAGAAAGATCGATATTAACCCGGAAAGCATTGGCGTTCTGAGTTCGAGCCCAAACGGATCCGTCGGTACCGATGATGGCTGCTCTCTTGATGGCAGGCGACGAGTCCGTCATTGACGTGATGTACGCTTGCCATCCAGACATTCTGCAAAATGAAGTCATTCTCTCGAAAGCGACGGAGTTAAGCTTACAAACTGCACAGGAGATGATAAGACGTAACGATGGCATTTATTACAAAGGATGTAAAGGGAAACATGCATCGTTGAAATCGAGGCATGAGGGAAAATGAGGCTATCAATATGCATGGTGCGTACGAGTACGAGAGAATAGGTGGATCGTCAGGCCAACATTACCATTGCCGGAAATCAGCATGAACTGCGGTACAAGGGGGTTATGGAGGCGGGGCGAGTAGGAAACGATAGATTGTCTATCAGCAGGGAGAACTATACTGAGGTAAACAAGAGATAGACAAAGTTGATTGTTTTTGATTTCAGCTAAAGTATGGCGAAAAGTTAGACGAAAACAGCAAAAAGCAGAAGACTTACATTTATGGGTATTTCGTTGAAGATGCAGCAATCGAATAGGCAATAAAAAATAGGAATGATGCTGCATAGGCAAAACGAGATGCGGGGCAATTGTATTAAAAATGATAAAAAAAATGCAAAGAAATATATAACAACTGCAAAATTATGCCTAAAAGCTCTCCTTGCCGCAGCTTTCGCAAACTTCCATTAAAAAAAAACGTTTACGCAAAATCTATATTGATGTTCCTGAATGACCACATCTTGAAATCGTGCAACCTATTTTCGATCTCTGAGTCAGCAAGAGTGCGACACTGTTGAAATAACATGTTGGTGTCACGGTTTGGATGTGGAAAAACGTTGTGGACTTCGAGCGATTCTCAACATGTAGCTACGATTCAACCATAAGGTTTCGATTAGAATATGGAACTTGTAAGGCGAAAAAGAGACCACTCGGGGATTATGTATCATTCGTCTATCTAGAGTTCAAGGCACTTCAGCACTGAACTTTTTTTTTGCCACAGAAAAAACCTGGCATTAGAAATGAGACCCTCAAGCTACGCTTTTTCACTTAAGTTCTTAATTTTTCCCTCAGATTTTTGATTCGTGGCTTATCGAATATACAAAAAAAGTACGTGAAGGAAAGGCAAAGATTTGAAGTACTGGGCAGAGGGCATGGACTTTCGAAGGTCAAACAGTAATAGAACAACGGATAGAGGGAGATCAAAGATCGTTAGACAAATAGAATATTTACTGTTTACAACGTACAATACCTATCCATTATTACGCTAATAAAAGGCAGGAGCAGTGTGTGCGGAAATCGATCAATTACGTCGAAGTTCGGCCGCGAATGGAGGAGGGAAAGTTGCTGGGCATTTAAGGATAAAGCAACCCTCGATAAAGAAGGACTAAACAGCAGCAGCCCCCTGTCGTCCCTTTGCGCCTATAAACGGCATTTCCAGGTGCCAGTAAGGTGAGAGAGAAAGACAGAACAATCACTGAAAACAATGCAGAAATCACGAATTCCTAGAAGTAACCGCATAGATGGCGCTAGTCGGCCACCATGATAGTACTGAGCTACAGTGTGCAAAACTAGTCAGCGGTATTATTTGCGCTATCGTCTCGACTTGGGAACTCGAACAACGTATCAGACACTTAGTGAATGAGGCAGAATCATATAAGAACTCGTGGAGTGAGGGATGAGCCCGCACCCA